TCACGACTGTCGCATCGTCGCATCGTCGCATCGTCCTGTAGAACAGTAGGGGGTGGAGGCTAGAAAAGAGAGAGAGAAAGAGAAAGAAGACGGAGGGAGGACGATCGATCTTCCGAAATGCCAGTCGTACCGATTGAAAAGCTTCTGATTCGTGACATGAGACGAGAAATCCAGCTCCGAGAAAGTTTGATTGTTCAATAAGACGTCGATAGATATACCAGTGATGTCAATCCAACATCACTGGGTCGGTATTCACAGTTAAATTCTTATTTATTCACTATTTCGAATACGTTTCACAATGCATCGCTAATTACGCAAGAATATGCACGCGCACGTTTGTACCGAGTTCAAACGGCAAGAAATGAGAACTACCCGCGACTCTTTGTCGCAGAAAATTTAAGATGCACCGACCGCGTCTAGCAAGTTACATATTCCTACTCAGACTTTGCACTAGCACCCGAGAATTTGCGAGATGTAATTCAAAGCGAGAACTTAGCGCTACGCGCAAAGCTCTAGAAGAAAGGGACGGAAAGGAAGAACTTGGAATAGTATCATTAAATATTAAAACATATTTACGTGCGATACTGCTGCTGGCGGTTACAATAACGGCAAGAGATACGGGCGCTCTTCGGATTGCATTTCTTATCATCGAGAGATCGCATAGCGGGCGCTTTCGCATCGAATAACACGTATCGTAAATTAAGAGCCACCAGAAGCTTCAATTAAAAGAAGAGGCCGAGTATAATCCTTGGCGATCGAATGCCAAGAAAAGAAAAATGGAAGAGGAGAAAGCAGCAGGGGGAGATAAAGGACGATACATTTACCGGCATCGTCTGGAAACGATGTTGAGCAAAGAGAACGTTTCAAATTGTAGCTCGTTGTCGAGAGATATCAGAGATCTCTCTTCCTTCCCCCCCCCCCTCTCTCTCTCTCATACTCATTTTCGAGTACGCACTATCAGATTATACTTCAGACCAGAAGGTACACAGTCAACTGATGACGGTATGAGGAAGTAATGTTCACATAGAAAGATCGGGCACTCGAGAATCGTCCATGATCAGGGTGAGAGGGAGGATATGCGCCGGCCAGTGTGACGCATCCTGCACTCGAGAGCGATCGATTCCGCAGGATACGAGTCAACGCTTCACGACGTTGACCGTCCGAAAAGCCTCGCAGATGTTTCCGTTCGCCATTAACCAGAAAAAGCGAAAGAGGGCAGAAAGGGAGAAAGGCGATGTCCATGATGTCTCGATTCTCACGAAGATGTTTCGGAAATGAATACTGTGAAACGACATCTGGGCTTCAAAAGGAAATCTGCCACTTTATCGAATAAAATAATTGCGGATACTGAAACAATAATGTTGTAATATCTTTCTAGTAAAACTAAAAGTTGACATTTACAAAAAAAAATTGCGAAAAAGCATTTATAGCTTATACATTTCTTATAGTTCAAAAAGTGATATGCTCAAAATCAGACAAAATTACAGCAATGTGTTGAAAATGAAATTGTAAATGTAGTCACATTACTTACAAAATTTTGTCGGCATATAGTACCATGTGTTGCCTTAATTGCTTTTTCTTATGAATCTTTTGCACTGTTGTATAAAAGTTACAATAATGAAAGCTCTATAAGTCATCTCTATGTAATTTTCGATCTTTTACAAATAGATCGCTGTTACTTTCTAAAGCAATCTGGAGATAACAAAAGCGCGTATCTTATTCGTCCTTACCGGAATTTAAATCAGATTCAATTGTACGAATCATAATCACAGAATGACAAATAGAACGCTCTATGGAGATAATTATCGCAATTTCGTGTAAACTTTTCGGGCAGACTCGTCGAGAAGCTTTTAAAAGTCTTAACGATACTTGCGAACAGCCGAAAGCGCCAGTATCCTGGAAAAAAGAAGGAAAAAAAAGGGAGAAAGAGGACGAGAGAAGCCGGGCAACCAAACGGACAGTTGGATGTTGAAGTTTAGAAATGCAACGAAAAGAGAAACCGACTGGGAGGGGAGAAAGGCGACAGACCTGGAGCTCGTATTGATCCACATGATACGCTCGATTAGCCACGAATTGCAACGGATTGGAGTAACTTACAACATATTGAGACCATCGGGCATAATGGTTTCGTGATCCGGCCAAAGGCTGTGGCAACAGACAGAACTGATATTCCGCCTCTCAACGTTCTCTCGTGCATCCGAGAGTTTGCGCAAGGATGCACTGTGTGCACCGAAACGAAAACTAATCGTCACTGATGAGAAATAGGAAGAGAAATTTGTAAGCGACATAACGCGATTTAATACTTCTCGCATCAGCTAATATTGAACCGATAACGTTTACAGCCTTAAGTGTTGCGTAACAATGTGAAACACAGGGAGCTATTTAGTCTCACGTCTTCTGGAGCTTATTAACATTAAACAATATTCAAGTGAAGCGTAATTACATATTGGTTACATTCAATAACCGGGTAAACAAAAATGCACGATTGGAAATTTAGAATACTTAGATGTTTATTCGATAAGATTACTTCACGAATCGAGCATGAAACTAATAATTTAATTCAATTATCACGACGTACGAGATACTCTGCAAGTGGGATTTTTTGAACACCGTATAGAAGCGGTCGTGCACACATAGTGAACAACCGAAGAACTGTGCTCAGCAATTACGCGACGGAAAAATCGCGAGCAAAAATCAACAACGGAGAAAAACCTGTGTAATTGAGTTTGCGAAAGTTGTTCACCGAGCGACACGGCGATGCCCATGTGCATTCCTTTTTTACTTTCGCTCCGCCGCACCCTCTCTCTTCACCACTTTACTCCTCTGCAGCAAATCCATGATCATTTCCCTTCCGTTGCGTCCCACTCACCCGTCTTCCCGCCATTGTAATTCGCCATCGCGCGCTAAATTAATTATACATTGCTTTAGTTAGGCACACCGACATTTGCCTGCTCCAACGTGGAGCGCCGTTTCCCGCTTCGAATGCGATCACAGACGTGGCGGAATTGTTTGGATTTGAAACGGAGCATAGGTATAACTAAGCGCTCACGACAGCTTTCCGCGACTATAATTCGTTGGAACAGTGCGAGTGCCACGATTTCGATTTCACGGCTCCTTCCTGTATCCAAATTGCAGCAGAGTGCAGCGATATATAGTCGACTATGTTTCACCGAGCAAACTCCGTCCAGTCTGAGGAAACTTGCAGCGTAATCTCCTTTGTGTTTTCAGTCAAAGATTCTTATTCCTAATTCCTTGTAATAATAGCATTTTAAGCGAAATATTGTACATGGAATAAAACTTGTGAATACGCTTTATTTATAATATATATTCAATGTAATGTAAGATATACGTGTGTATGTATATATATATATATATATATATATATATTGTGTGTGTGTGTGTGTGTGTATACGTAGTATATGTATTATATATCACTTTGGCATCTAATATTAATTTCTCTTTCAATTCGACAAAGCACTGAAGCGTGTTTGCCTATTTGACCCGAGTCCCGGAAAATTAAAGGAAATAACTCGCTGCGCTCAAATAATCTTTATTAAAGACCCTTCCAATCCTCTTGCCTGTAAAAATTCGATTTCACTCCAATGTTTCGCCGTGATTTTCACAGTATATATTTCTTTTAAGATCCAATTCTTCACGCTCTCCGCGTCTCTATATCGCCAGCAGCCGCTGACTCGAAGCTCTAAAACAACAACGTCGTCGTAACAACAGCTACCTCTAAAAATCACCTCCATAAACAGGTGGCGTGTTTGTTGTGTACACTTTGCGCAAGCCTCCCTCACCCACAGCCGTCCTATTCTTCAACGTCCCTGTACTTTCCCTATTGCGTTTTCACCGTGTGCATATATACATACGTGCGTACATTGCGATACATATCGTGGTTAGTGCAGGCATGTCGAGATTTTAGTGAAACTCTTGAGCGAATGTTCACATTTAGCGGTACTATGTTTGAAGAACAGTAGTAAAAAACATGCTAAACTAAATATATACGTCAATAATAAATAATATACAGCTTCAGGCATATTATTATATAATTTTTCTATAAAATATATGGGAAACTAAGATATATTAAAATATTTCTTAAAAATTGTTAATGGCAGAAGCTAAATAAGTATTATAACTTTTTATGGTCCAGACTGAAAGTTTGATAACACTTTTAAAAAATTGATTTTTTAGAATTATTTATTCAAATATCCAACAATGTTTTTTTTAACAATAATCCTTCGGATCCGATAATAGTTGTTGAATCTAAAAAATTATTGTTAAATAAATACATTGTTATGAATATTTTAATAATCCTAAAATTGTGCCAATTTTGAAAATATTTTCCAAATGGCCTGAAGTGTAGTACCTATCCATAATATTGTAAACTCGAGAGTTTAAAATGTTCAAATACAATTTATTTGAAACATCATAAATTCAACATATCACCGCGTGAATTTCGTATAACAATAAACTTCCCCCCCCTCCGAAAAAGCATTTCCCATTCCAGTGGCATCAGAGTTAGGCTCGGCACCACCCCAGGCCACAACTACTCTCGCTCGTCGTACACATTAAACTCAACGGCTTCGCTAATGCCGCTTTTCGTTTCCTCCCCCTCATGCCTGGCGACCCTTCTGCCCATTCCATCTACCCCGACCACCCACTTTGCTTTCCGTCCCAAATTGATTGGACTACGAATCGGCTGGCTTGAATTATTCATACTTTGCCCGGCGATAAACCAATTTCTGCACCGGCCAAATCGAGGAAGAAAAGATCGGACCGCCACGCGAGCAACGAAACGAAGGAAGACGTCGGTGTGTACTCCTCGAACAAAGAGAGGGTCTGCGAGGGTCGAATAAACGAGGAAGGTGAACAACGAGGGACAAGGACGCGGATGTGACGACTGGGAGGTCAGTTAACTTTACTGAAGAGATCATCGAACGAACTGCGACGCCGTTTAATTTCATCATTCGATCCAATGACGCGGAAGATACGCCTGAGAAAGAAAATAGACGACTTCGCGCTATGCTACAGCTTTATTGATAAACTAAAGCGCGAGAGAAACCGAACAAGTAATAGCTTTCTCACTCTTCTTACAATCTCCCATGTCTAGAGCTGCGGTACTCTTTGTCTCTTTCTATCTTATACTCTGACGTGTTATTTTAATCCGTAGGTTAAGGACATGTGAACCGTCGTCTGCCTTAGAAAGATGTGGCGCCGATGTCAGCGCCGTTCAGAAAGCACAAAGTGTGAATCGTTAATCTATTCGTGGAGAGCGCATCAAATTTCAAAGGTAGGATTAAATGCGAAAACTGTCTAACCAATGTGATTCTCACTAAAATAAGTGTGCGAAGAATGGGATTGAGAAATTCAAGATTAAAATAATTTCATTTACAGAGTTGTTACAAAATTCCTTTATCTTAAAATTCCATAACTATTTTCAGACAAAATTCCACGATTTCCCCTGACTTTCAATAAGATTGAAATATTTTGAAATTTTTTATATTTTCATATTTTTTTCACCCTGATTTGGAAATCGTTGGAACCGTTAAATATTTTGTTGATAGATCAATTTAACAATAAGGTTAAATTACTATTAATGTTGCTGACACTACATACATTTTTAATTAAGTTCAATTAAGTTAAATTAATAGCATTTTACCAACTACATAAGTGTAATGTACGTACATTACATTTCTTTAAAGCCAAGAATTTTAATTTCTAGAAAATTTTGCAAAATTCCTTGATTTTCCTGGTTCCCATTTTGCGGCAATCCTAAATTTAAAATAAAAAAGTTGTGTGCGCAAACGTTGATAAGGCAACCGATTTCCTACAATAGTAACTAGCCTAAGTTACGGTGTTTCGATTTTACGATCGACAGAAATATGAGGGCCGTATATCGAAGATTTTCGTGTCATTTTTACCGTTATGGACACCGATTTACAACGATTTCTGTCCACTACCTCGCCAGCGAGTCAACACCCGCGATAAGAGGACACTTTCAGCAATACCCTGACGAAGGAACCACTCAGGCCGCCGTTTTCCGACGACGCGCCGCACCGCCGCTTTTGACCTTTTGCTTTTCTGGATCGGGCACAGAGCGGAGGGAATCTTCTCGACAAAAGATTTATGAACCCCTCGGCAATGGCAGCACGCTACTTATTCCATCATAGAGTGCGTACTCGAGATGCACAAAAAATGCGGGAGCGGTATGTACACGCGAGCGATCTTCAAAGAGAGATCTTAAAAAAGGAGCGCCCCTCTCGCTTCTCGTGTCGAATCAATCATTTCCAGCCCCGTAAGTGTCCACCAATTGCCAGTCGTTTTCAATTTACATCGTAATCAATTGCCGTCGTTTTCTAACAACTTTACAAGTGAAAGGAAAAACGAGAATTTAATTTCTAGACAAATTTGTAATAAAAAAGTGATAATACTGGATCATATATATTTTATGATTTTATGTTTTTATATTTAAAATTCAATTATATCATATGATAAAATTTTTATTTCCTATACATTGAGAAAAAGACACTTAAAAATGTATTTGTGAGAAATATATTTATTTCATTGAAATAAATTTTTATTTAAATGCGGCAAAATAAAACTTTATTCCTAGCAAATAAGTCATTTATTTGTTTTTAATTAATAAGATATACTTCACAAAAATATATATTTCATCATCACAATTAAATTTTTTCACAATTAATAAATATCAAAGAAAAGTATCTTTACAGCTTTTAGAATACAGCATCGAATCCAAAACCAAATGTAAAATTTATCGCTTCTAAAAACCTACGATTAATATCATTATCCATGTTATTTACACTTTTACCTACGATATTAATTATCATAAAATCCAAACTGTGGAGCAAAAACGGTGACGAGAACGTGTCATTAACGCAACAAACGCTATCGATGTTTAACGACAACTTTAGCAAGTGTGCTGTCGTTCCATCGATCTACTTGTTTGCCGAGGTCAACGACATCGAGACACTACAGCGATCAGTTATCCCCCGTGGGAGCTCGTCGAAAAAGTTTCTCTTTTTTTCCACGACGATGTAACGGACGGCCACGCGGTCCGCTATGCTGTCGTAACAAATGGTCTTTTTCTTAGGCGACGTAAATTTTATCGGTGCACCCTCTCGTCAAGTACGAGAAGTTCACCACCTCCATAAAGAGAGAGAGAGAGAGAATGAGAAGGCGCGTTACTAGATATCTCGCCTACAGTCTCATTCTGCGATCAAAGTCAATTGACACAATTCCCAGCAATTTTAGCCAGTGGTTAGGCCGAGGTCAGGTTATACGTGCCGCGGCGCATACACAGCACGCTGAAACTAATCATAATGTATCCTCGTCGGTCGACGAGGGGCACCGCGGGAGGAGAACCGCCGCCGTGATTGGTCCGTTGCGGTATTCCTCGCTACCAGATAAAGTTACCGTAATATGGATTAACTGCCCGCCATAGCTCATATTCCGATCCGGCACTCACGCTCCGGCTCACGATGTAGTAATGAACTCGTAACGGCCGCTGTTATCAGCCGCGCCGCTGCTCGAGTGTCTTTTAATGACGATTCACGTGAACGCGTAATCGATATATCGTCCGTACACGAGGCGTAAAGCAGAATGCGAGGGTGTTGCGGCGGTATCTGATTTATCGTTCGAATTTAATTATACAACAGACGATCCTCCGTTTGGAGGTTTTTCGACCATCCCTCGTAATCGGCACATTGAAATGCTAGTATAAATTGATAGAGCTGCCCATTCATATAAATCTGTAAAGCAAACGCCTATATCTATCCCGTAATATATGTCTATATATATATATATAGAATATTTTTAGACATCGCGCACTTAACATGATACATATACATATACCATTATTTATAGCAATTCATTATTGCGTATCATATCTATCTCTGCCTGACAGAATTTTGCGTGCCGTTGACACTCATGCACGCATAAATTTTCAAACGCGAGGAAAGCATTGGCAAGTCGCGTATTTTGGACACACGACCATTTAAAAAATTGTTGTGCGATTGCCAAGTCCGCTCGTTGAAATTTACGGCGAATTCGATGCCGATGTCTCGCCACGTTATCGATCGGCGCGACTTTCGGAATGCTAAAGGGGTGCGCGCGGTTCCAGCCCAGTGATCTCCCTTTATCCGTAATACACCGACGCGCCGAGGTCGCTGCTTTCGACCGGCTGCTGCAGTGCTGCATGGCGTACGGTTTCGAATTTTTAACTCGTACAGCGCAACTCTCACGAATTATTCTCCACGAAAATTGCGTGTATGTAGCCAGCAGGGACTACGGCATGAGAGTTTGATTTACGGCAATCGAAAAACGAGCAGATATTTTTACATTTTTAACGGACAACGCGATTGATCGTCAAGCGTGAGCGCGCGCGCGATTCCGGTGGCTGACGTGACTTATCAATCGCCATGGTAGAAAAAAAATGCAACAAGTATCTCTATTAAAAAAAACCCATACTATATACAAAGTCTGTATTATTACATGCAAGGTGGATATTAAATATTCTAAAAGATTTTAAGAGATGATTCCTCACATAAATTCAAAATAAAAACTTCATATAATCACGTGTCCGAAATTTAGTTTCAAGGGCCCAAGTCGAAAAAAAAATTTCTTTTTTTCAAAAATTTTGAAAAAACGAGTTTTTTTTTCACTTGGATTATTTTGAGCTTTTGAAGTTTCATCAAAATGACTGGAGTCGTGTGTGGAGTCGTTTTCAAAATTTTTGAAAATTTTCATTTCTTCTTTTTCTGTCTATTCTGAATGAGAAAATAAAGAAATAAAAATATTGATTTAATTCTGATAGTCAGATCCATTTTCATAATAGTTATTTAAAAATTATTAAAAAATTCATGAATTAATTTCATTAATAAAATAAATAAATTCTTGGCAATCTTTAATCTTTAGACGACTTATATATATTTTGAAATTGATCCTTATCGTACTGAATTCTGATCAACGGTTCAATAATGTATAGTTGGACAATGTAGCAGAATAATCATAAAGAGGATTTCATTAGTATGTATATTATGATGATTGGCTAACCGGTTATTAGGTCTCTTTGAACGTCACAACTAATAGAAGCGTGCCCTGATCATTCATCCTGAATAATAAACGTATTATGAAAAATATTTGAGAGCAATAAATAAATAAATATATATATAAATAAGGTATCCCAAAATTCGCGACTCAAAGTACTACAGCAAGAAAGTCCTCAAAAAATTAGGTAAAAAAATTATTTGTAAATTTTTATTTTAAGCTACAATTCTTTAGATAAAGATATAAATATGGTCAGTTATATATATATATATAGACTACGTTTAGATAGTCATCTATTCATACATCGCGCGTTCATGATCGCTGATGAGATCACTTCAGCGTTCTCACAGATAATCACTAATGTTCACAGTAATGTTGATAATTCACTAATATTCATAGATCATCTAAACATAGTCTGTAATTAATCATATTCAAATCCTTAATCCTGAGAAATTATTTAAAATAAAAATTTACAAATAATTTTTTTTTCTTCATTTTTCAAGAACTATGGTATTTTGCTATGGTATTTTGAGTCGCGAATTTGTGGATATTCGACACACACACACGCGCGCGCGCGTAGATTGGCACAACTACGAAACTACAGTTAATCAAGTGTCATTCCATTTCATTTGAAATTTCATCGATTTAACTGGATTTAATCGATTCTGTCAATTTCATATACGAGTAGGTCGAGAGCAATCTAAATAAATCGAATAATAAAATAATTATCCGTAACTCGTGTGCGGAAATACACATAGATTGTAAGAAAATTGCGGAAGAGAAAGAGAGAACAACGGAGATTTAATGACATCACGCGAGCGAAAGACCACATGAATGACACATGTCAGAGAATCAACTATCAACGTATTGATCCGTAACGCAGTCTCCATCATTATCGGAGGTCTCGTCGATTTGCCGGCTGTCAATAGGAAATTACAACTGAGCGCCACGTAAATATTTATAGATCGTATTGCAGATAACGCACATTAATGCGGGGGCATCACATTCGCTAAAGCACAAGGATCATAAAGGGGATTTAATCGAGGCGTAATTAGTTAACCGGTTATTATCGCGATACCTTTTTAAACGTCACGGTTGATAACAAGTGAGCGAATCGGCCGTAGCTGAGTACAATAAACACCCTGTGGAAAATGCTGCGTTATCGTCAGGGCTTCGCGATGTCCAACAGCGATGCACTGCTGATTGCAGTTCCGGTTCCGCGGTATGATTTTGCTCGTTGTAGAATTAGCAGAAATTCTGGCTCAGCGAGTAAAACGATATCGCCGTCGCAGCAACGCGGCGCATTAATGACACGTGCTTCACGTAATTTCAATAGCCAATGCGGTGCATCGCGGCCGACGCACTCTATATCTCAATGCACACGTACGAGCGACACGACGGCTAATGCATCGCCGAACAAAATTCGTCACGATGTAATGAGCTTCCGCTACCCGATGTCGACGCAGATAGACAGAGAACGAGACGTTTATTCGACGTCGACCGAGATAAAGTTCCCCACAACCGCGAGCAGAAATATACATAATATTTACAGAATGCTTACATAAATTGTCGATCTAGCAAGAAAATGGAAGGAAAAGATTAAATAAAAATTCTTTTTTCAAATACGCTTTCCTAAAGATGTTCTTTGCATCAGAAATTTTTAATGGAATGGAGTTTATTATTTTTCATAATATTCAAAATAAACTTGTGCTACTTGATCTCGATCCACAAAAATGAATAAAGAGGAACATTTATATTACGATACTGAAATAAAATTACCTTATATGCGTAAATGTTTATATACATATATCGTTGCTACAGTAAAACGTAAAAAAAATTTTTTAATGAAAATTTAAATAATATCCCTTAAAGAGATACTTGTATCGTCGAAAGAATTAAATCTAATCGTTTATTATGTTTCAAAATATCCATAGCTTC